CTCGATCGCCTTCCAATTTTATATTGGACAAAGATGTTTCACGAACTTTGGTTGATGTTAATTAAAGGAAATAATAATATTTTAAATATTCTAATTATATAATATAAAGAATGTAACACACATGACTTCTTCTAGTCTTGATGAAGGTGGGAGGGCAAATGCGACAACCATAAATTCTACCTATATATATTATCAAAAGCAAACATAGGCTTAGAGATGTTCTTGAGAATTTTATCTAACTGAGGGTGAAGGATATGACAATCAACTTTAACATGTCCCAGAGATTCACAATGATCACAAAAGGGAGGAAACTCCTCATTTTTGACATGTTGAATATACCCAAATTTTCAAGGCCAAGCCACACACTATCAGAATAGTGTTTAGTGATGTCTAATTCAACTAGCACACGAGCAATAGAGGGCCACAATCCATACAAAGCAGTGCATGTTATCAATTTTTAACGGGCGACCAAATAGTAAACCCATGCCGTAAAGGATACAGAGAGAAAAATGATAAAGTCTAAGATTAGGAAATTAAATGAAATCCAAATGGGCATAATGGGGGATTTCACAATAATGTCAAAAAAGGAGACAACTTAATCACTTTAATATAGCAATTTTTAATAAAGTAATATCGATGAGAAAAAATGCAACTGTAATCCAAGTCATTCATCAGCTTAATCAAAACATGCATATGATTCAAGAAAGTAATCGAGAAATCATCGATCAGCTTGAGATTAAAGAAAAATTTATGAACCGAGTCCAGAGCTGGTCGATGATTTGGGATTTTACCATTCAAAGCATATTTGAATGGGGCACAAGAGAAAGAATCTCCTCTTCTGAAATCCACAGCGATGGTAATCCACGATGGGTAGTGGTTTTAAGTTCAGGGAAAGTCATCGAAGATGAGGAAGCCCCATACCGGGCATCTAAAAAAAGGAATGAAAATTTATTTGCCCATTTAAAAATTCAGGGTCGTTCAGCTGATTAACCACCATTCAAGCTGAAGAAGCCACCGAATGTGGAAAAATTAAATGAATAAAACTAAAAACATACAAGCAAACAGAAGAAAAAGAGCCGAGAAGTAGAGATATTACATTCTAGTGAATGAAGCATTAAGGGTCACGGTGGACATACGACGTTGAGGAGAGCAGCTAGCTAGGAAAAAACCCTAGCTTAGCAGGTATGATCCTCTGCAAAGAAGGAGAAGGTGCAGGAACATAATTAAGTAACCATTTTTGTATGGACTATTTTAGAGATATTATCTAACTATATTGAAGATTGGTTATGAATATCAATGAAATTAATGTTAAGATGATTATTAATCCACGGACAGGAGTAATCATCAATCCAAAATAAGTGACAATGTTTACATAAACTTGGAGAGATGTTATTTGTTAGTAGTAGGACTAGGATATGATCTATAGGGTTAGCATATGAGCTTTTAAGCTCCTCCATATTGCATTTCAATTTCCTTGCTCATATGGCATCTATTGTAGCATTATAATTACCACAAGAAAATATTATTAAAAAAAAAATTCTAATTTTATAGTTTAACAGAAGTTTTAAACAAAGCCTTTAATTAAATTTAGTTTTCTTTCTTACCATTGAGCAAAAATTTAACAAAGTTTCTCTTGAATTTGAATCTCTTATAGTATTAATTATTAACTCAAGTAAAGCATTCCTAAGAACTAAATTCAAAAGAGCTAGTGTACCTCATAATGAGACAAGTTTTCATTACAACCAAAAACATTTGTTTTTTTTTTTTTTTTTTTTTTTTTTTTTTTTTTTTTTTTTTTTTTCTTTTTTTTTTCTTTTAATGTTGAGTGTAAAGGAACAAAGTCAATGATGATGAAATTAATTCAAATCCAAAACTTTGACTATAACTTACAAAATTTAATATATTCAATTAGAAGGCTTTTGAAGCATTTTACAGGCAAAAACCAAACACAAATACTTATTACTTAGCATTCATGTAATTCTAAAAATTTATTCTGAATCTGATATGTCTAAATCCTCTCTCTTTAAGAATAAGAAGACAGATAATCAAAGTTACATTTATGACAAATGTTCAAAAGTGGATGATATTAACACCAAAGAATAGTTTTCAGTAACTTTTATATTTATATTTTTGTTTAAATATCTTCTACATTTTTAGTTATAAGATAGTAGTGAGATCTACAATGCTTTATGGTGCAAAATGTTAATCATTAAAAGAGAAGAATACTATTAAGTTAAGTGTTTTAGAGATGGTCAGAAAGCTCAGGTGGATGAGTGGCTTTACTCTTAAAAACAGGATATGAAATAATAAGCATATAGTGAAAAGGTTGGAGTAGCTCCAGTAAAAGATAAGATTAGAGAGAGACGTCTTAAATGGTTTGGTCACATAAAACGGCAGCTTTTCAATGACCCAGTTAGGAAAGTAGATGTATTAGATTTGACTTATATTAAAAAAGATAGAGGTATACCCAAAAAGACTTGGTTAGAAAATATTAGAAATGACATTTCTTTTTTAGATTTAGATGAGAATTTGATTCTTAACATAACATAATAAAGAAAAAGAATTCATGTAGCCGACCCCACATAGTGAGATAAAGGCTTGTTGCTGTTGTTGTAGATCCTACTTTTCAGTTTTATCTTTGAAATTTAATTATCTGTCTTCTCATATTGATTCAAATTAAGCATATGAGAATATCCTTTTTAAACTTTTTTTCCATCAGTCTTAATACCATGCTTCAAATTTTCCTCAATTATTTTTAGATCGAGTATGCAAACACATATATGTTCTATTTTTCTATCAGCATATGCTATTTACGTTGTCATATTTTCTGCTTTTGCTTGTTACCACCTGTCTTATAATGTACATTCCTGCCCTCTTAGTTGTTAATGATTGCATTTAATCGTGTATTTGATAGCTTTAGGAAAGCTGCTATTAGTAGCTCTACGCAGTTTGCAATTCTTCTTGCAAGTTTTCTATTTATCGTCTGAAGTATTAATGGTTATATACTATGATGGTATGCTTGTTGAATTGCTGCGCTTCATGTAACTGACACGTACGTAACTAAAGGTATTTTCTTCCTTTCCTAACTGCAATCAATGGTTGACTAAGAATTTATTTCAAATTTATGTAGTGATTTGTGTTTAAACCTTACTAACTAGTATATCAAAGATTTAGTGGTTGAGGAATTGTACATAATCAGCTTATTAAACTTCACATATATAGAAATTGTCTCAAGGATTCGACATTAGTTATCAGACGAAATGTCTTATCCATTAGTTTACATATATACTTTGATAAAATAACATCATAAGTACATGCTCAAGGCATTTGCACTGCATTTAATTGTATGCATATGTAGAGGAATATATATATATATATATATTTTTTTTTTAATCCACCACCCAATAAATAAGAAAAACCAAATCTGTAAACACCCAAAAAATTGGAGCCTCCAAAACAGATTCCAGATACTAAAGGAAGTTAAAACCATGTCCCTAAATAAAATGACAAGCTTCCAGCTCCCAGGATTGACCGACCCCGAGACTAGAGCAACACAACAGCCACTACCAGGAATAGTAGAACAGAAAAAACCAAAGACAGGATGAGTAGAAGGCAGCATATATACCCAGTAAAACAAAAGCAAAGGTAATAAACCCACACAGAACATCAGAAAGAACGCACATAAGGAAATCCAATTTTATCCAGAGTCACCAAACTTTTTAGAATATGAGGCAAAGTATTCACATCAAATTCTCTATCTTCATCCAATCTGCTCCCAGTTTTAGCCAAAAAATCAGCACAAGCATTACCTTCTCTAAACAAATGCTTCATATATAGTATAGTTTATAGAAGAGAGGGCCAAACGAATTTTCTTGAGGATGAAACACCTCAGCGTTATTAATAATTTGAATAATACTTAAGGCATCCACCTCAATCTCAATATTAACAAAACCTCTATTAATACAAATAAAAAGACCTTTGTATAAGCCCATCAGCTCAGCAAGAATGATCTTACACGCAGGTAAAGGACCCGCATAAGCCACCAAAACCTTGCCCGTAAAATCCCTGATTATACCCCCAAAACCAGCATAATTATTATCAACAGAACCATCAGAATTGAGTTTCAACGAAGGAGACAACGGTTTTAACCATCTAACCACTTTACAACTGGTAACAAAATCCTCATTACTAATAAGAATACCCAGCTCATGTAGAGGAATATATATAATGAGAAGAGGAAGAAGAAAAAGGAATGGCTTTCTTGCATGCAGTGTAGGTTCTAAGGAGTTATCCAATGGATGAAGTTTCACCAATTTGATAGGTTTATTATCCAATGAGAAAATCTTTCTTTTCAAAAGAAAATCTGATGGTTTAGAAAGCTTCTGCTTAGGATAAATTGTCGGATTCCGTCATCTACGACATTAGAATTGCCAATCGAAAGAGGGTCAAATGGGTTAAGGTCAGCGTCCCATAAAAGATAAGGAAGATGCATATATATTGATGCTAAGCTAAAGCATTTAATTTATTCTTTTTATCCAGAAGAAAAAAAAAAACAAAGAATGGAAGTACTAATTAAGTTATTAGTTTAATTAAGTTTTATATTCGTTTTAGTGATATTGTTATCCACATAATTGGAGGCAAGACAAAACTGAGCTGTTATCAATCTCATAGTTAATTTAAGCGGTAAAAGACATACTTGTGTTGCCATGCATTGGCGGCCTGGAAGAATTTATGAATGATTAGAGCTTTAAGTACCGTCAGATTGGGAGCAACTTTTATGTTCTCAGCATGTCCCAACTTTTGTTTTCCCTAATGTGTATGTAATACAGGAAAAAAAAAAAAGTTTATGTGGGAAGAGGGTTGTTGTAGCATGAAAGAAATAAGAAGATTAACCCTAATTGCTACAAATATACAACCACTAGCACAATATTTCAGTTATCAATTGTCTTTCCACAAAATAATTTGAATTTGATTAATTCTTTCTCTTGGCACAATTATAGGGAAGAGATACAGAGAATCAAAGCTGCACAGCCTGACATTCCACACCGTGAAGCATTTAGTACTGCTGCCAAGAATGTAAGAGACGTGCATATATATATGAAAACATGTCTACTTTCAATATTTAGTAATAATTAATTATAGCGTTGATGGTCGACTAAATAATTGCAGTGGGCTAAATGCGACCCTCGCGCCCTTTTCTATTCTGCTACCGGTACCAGCGGAGCAAGGAGGGCAACAACAGCCATTCAGCAAGTACGTATATTTTTATAATTGACCAATTAATTTCCTAGTCTTATTATTTTTCTAGTCTAATTAATTTTGATCGATCACTTTTGTAGGAGAAAAGAAGTGGCGTCCCGGTGGAAAGCTTCGAAGTCTCCAAGCATGGGCAACTGCATCGCATGGAATAATTAATAAACCACAACTACATGTGCTATTTCATCCGTATATATATGACTGGGACTTTCTTAATTTTATGTACGTTTAATGGATCTAAGACTCTTAAAAACAACTGAAGCAAATTTCATATATATATATACTATGCATCACGTACGTGAACTAATATCCTTGTGAATTGTATGAACAGCTAACTACGTACAAGCATGTATGCAATCTCTACTAGCTGATCCTTTTCTGAACAAATAGTATCCATGCATGCAACACAAAAATTAGTGAAAGCCTGTTAACCCATACGCCTAAGTCTAAACTAACTATGTTGTTCCGCAATTACATTGTACACTCTCATTTCTATTTAAATGTTTGTCTGTACCTAGGAATGAATGAATGAAATCATTTTCTTTCTTGTCTCTGTTCTTGTCCGTGGTCTCCCAATCTCATCTCTCGCTGAGCTCTCATGGTGTCAGAGCCAAGATAAGTCTTCCTCTTCTACCTTCTTTGGTTTTTCTTCTTCTACGGATTCTCTTTTTCGTTCGTTTGGTTTTCTTTTGTTGCTTTCATGGCCGAATCCTCCATCACATCTCCCGTTACTACAAAATCCTCAAATTCTTTTTCTCTCGTAGATATTCTTCCCCAACTCAAATTTGTTCTTAGCAACATCAATAATCTCGTTTCTAATTCCCTCACAACCGACAATTACCCTTTATAGAGGTCACAAGTCGAGAAAATCTTTGTCGCCAACGGCTTCAAAGGCTTTGTTCATGGATCGCATAAGCCTCCCTAAGACAATGATCCCTTACTCCCTTCGTGGAATCTTCTTGATCAAAATCTTTCCGCTGCTTTACTCTCCATTATTACATCTTCCATTCTACCCTATGTTCTCTCCCTAAAAAATTGCGCTGATATATGGGCTACCCTATCTCACCGATTGCAAGCTTCCACTCGATCACGAATCATTCAATTAAAGAATGAGCTTTATCATCTTTCTAAAGGTGAGCAATCCATGTCCCAATATCTTCTCACCATCAAGTCCAAGATTGAGACGATTTTAGCTGTTGATAGCACTATAGACCCGGAGGATGTTATCCTCTACACGTTGAATGGCTTACCCAAAACTTACCAAGCCTTCAAAATTGCTATCCACACAAATCTACAACCTATAAATCTTGATGACCTTTACACACTTCTTTGTAGTGAAGAAGTGAATCTTGCCCAAGAAACCTCCAAAGAACTTCAATCTCTACATCTTACCGAAAATTCTTTGGCTCTTGTGGCTACTCGAGGTCGTGGTCATGGGCGTAATAATGCTAATTGTTGCTGCTCCTACACTCGTAACACTCGGCTAGCTGCTCCTTCTAATCGAACCAGAAAACAGCAAAACAAAAGTATCATTTGACAAATATATACATAAAGAGTACACTCTGGTGTGAAGTGTTGATATCTTGACGACACCACCTATCAAGAAAATTCACCCAATCAAGCATTCTTTAGTCCAACCGAACAACCCCGTCAACCAGATTGATTCCTAGATAGCGGGGAATCTACACATCTTACATCAGATCCCTCTCAATTCTCTTCCGTTGAACCTTATGAAGGTAATTCACAAGTTACTTTAGGCAATGGTTATCGTGTGCCCATACATCATACGGGTAAAGGGCTTCTTCAAACTCACTCAAGTAGTCTCCAACTAAACAATCTTCATCATGTACCAAATTTATCATTCAATTTATTATCGGTTCACCAACTAACTCGTGATAATTCTTGTATCGTTGTTTTTTCTTCACGTGGTTACCAAATCTATGACTTGAAGACCAAGCAGATTCTCTTTCAAGGTTCATGCCATAATGGACTCTACCACATTTCTTCATCTACTCCACCTTATGCGCTAGCTTTACTTTCTGTGCAAATCGTTCATGATCTCTGGCATGGACGTCTTGGTCACCCAGACATACGCAAGTTTCTTTCTCTGCTCGGTTACATTCACATATAAATTCCAATGTTACTGTTCATTCTTGTAATACTTGTAACCTTGCAAAAAGTCATAGATTGTCATTCTATAAGTCTATTTCTAGTTCATCTTCTCCTTTTGAAATTGTGCAGTCTTGCTTCATCGCATGGATTTCGTTACTATGTCTCTTTTATAGATGATCATACTAAATACTGTTGGGTTTATCCTCTTTTGCAGAAATCTGAAGTTTTTTCTAAATTTTTGGAATTTTATAATTTTATTAAATGTAATTTTAACAAACATATTAAAACTCTTTAAATAGACAGAGGTGGAAAGTATATTAATAAACAATTCTAGAATTTCTGTAAACTTTCGAGTATGCGTCATCAATACACTTGCCCATACACACCCTCTCAAAATGGCATCACTGAGAGAAAGAATTGACACATCTTGGAGACAATTCGAAGTCTCTTAATCCACTCAAATGCTCCTCAATGGCTATGGATTCACGCTTTCTACACTGCTATTCACATCATTAACCTTCTACCTAGTCGTATGTTACACAAAAAAAACTCCACATGATTTGCTTTACAACAAATTACCCACTTACACTCATCTTAAAATCTTCAGATGCCTTTACTATCCTTGGCTCCCACCGCATGCTAAATCCAAACTTGACTCATTTTCCAAACCTTGTGTTTTTGTCGGTTACGCCACCTCTTAAAAAGGTTATCTATGCTTAGATCTTCTAACTAGCAAAATCTATATTTCTCGTCATGTCGTGTTTAATGAATAAGTCTTTCCATACAATCAAATCCAAGTTCCGTCCATAGTCTCATTGCATCCTCTAATCTTCCTCCTCTTCTTTTAGTTCCTTCATAAACCATTAACTCTCAACCTAAGTCTGTGGTTTACAATTAAAATTCTTCACAGTATGTGTCCCAATGATCTATATCCACTAATCTTCCCACTAGCAGTATCTCACCTCAAATATCTACCTATCAATATTCTCATAATTCACCCAATCACCACACTACTTCGACATCTTCTAGTCTCATCATTCCCAAACATCAAATGATAACCCGTTCGCAAACATGCAATCTAAAACCCAAACTCATTTTCAATCTTACGCACCAAATTACCAATCAAGACCCAACATCCTACACTCAAGCTTGCAAACACCAACATTGGCACTCTGCCATATCACAAGAATTTCAAGCTCTCCAATCTCAAGGAACTTGGGATCTTGTGCCTTTCTCTCCCACTCAAAATATTCTATGGTGCAAATGGATATTCCGAACAAAATTTCACTCTAACGGATCAACTACTAAACACAAGACTAGACTTGTGGCTCTCGGTTATAAACAAGAATTTGGTCTGGACTACAATGAATCTTTCAGTACTCCTGTTGCCAAGATACCTAACTTCCGTATCCTCATTATTCTTGCATTACATAAAAATTGGCAAATTCATCAACTTGACATATCAAATACTTTCCTCCATGGCTCCCTCCAAGAAACGGTTTATATGCGTCAACCACCCGGACTCATAGATGAGCTCCATCCCAACCACATCTATAAATTAAACAAAGCTCTCTATGGCCTTAAGCAATCACCATGCCAATGGTTTGCGATGTTTATTGGATTCTTGCATAAACAAGGCTTCACTACAAGTAATTCTGATCCTTCTCTCATGATCTATAATACTTCAAAAATACAAATTTATTTTCTTATATATGTCAGCGATCTTATAGTGACAGGTAATAATGTCCAAACCATACATCATCTTCTAAATAATCTACACCTGCAGTTTAACATGAGAAACCTAGGCACACTTTCTCAATTCCTAGGTATAACGGCGGTTCCAACAAAGGATGGGATTCTTCTTCATCAAAGTTGATACTCTCAAAAAATTCTCCAACGCGCAGGAATGCTTCAGTGTAAACCGGTTAACACGCCAATAATAGCTAAGTCTCACAAAACTGCCAACTCTTCCAATTTATTTTTTGATTCCTTATTGTATAAGCAACTAGTTGGATCTCTCCAATATCTTACACTAACTTGACCTGATATATCCTATGCGGTAAACAAAGCATGTCAATACATGCATATGCCAACTAACTCTAATTTTGAGGGAGTCAAACGCATTCTTCGATATATCAAGGGTTCTATAAATCTTGGCCTACCTCTATTTCGCAATTCCCTTAATTTAATCTCTTATGTTGACTCAAATTGGGTCGGAGACCAACATGACAGAAAATTAATAACATGATATTGTACTTTTCTCGGATCATCTCTTATCTCCTGGAGTGTCAAGAAACAGAAGATCATTGCACGATCTTCTATCAAAGTCAAATATCGAGCCCTAGCAACCGCTACAGGTGATCTTATATGGCTTTGCCAACTTCTTTAAGAACTTGGTTGCCCTCAACCTGAACCAACAAACTTGTTCTGAGATCGATGACACATCTGTCATTGTCCTGGCCAACAATCCTATTTTCCATGCTCGAACCAAGCACATTGAAGTTGACTGTCACTTCATCAGCGACTGCATCAAGAACAAAACAATTTATGTTCACCACATCTCCACCAAAGACCAGATTGCATATATCTTTACTAAAGCTCTTTCAATGGCTCAATTTCATCACATCAACCTCAAACTAACTTCATCCTCAGACTCATCAGTTTGCAAGGGGGTGTTAACCCATACACCTAAGTCTAAACAAGACTTACCTAACTAAGTTTTTTCTGCAATTACATTGTACACTCTTATTTCTATTTATATGCTTGTATGTACCGTAGGAATGAATGAATAAAATCATTTTCTTTCTTGTCTTTGTTCGTGTTCGTGGTCTCCCGATCTCATCTCTCGCTGAGCTCTCAAAGCCAACATAAAAAATGCTTCTTCTAGTTAGAATACCAACAATATAATTATATTTAGCTTAATTAGCATTTTTGCACATGTATTGTCAAGGGAGAATTAAAGAGGCATGTACCACTCCTAAATTAGCCTAACTATCATTATTGTACTAGCATCATTATTGGAATTTTTTAAAGTGTGGATTTAGTATGTATTTGTACATAATAGATATATATTAAGAGGCCCCCATTATTTGAATGCAGAGCTCAACATTACTTATTATTCTCTTGCTATAATTTAAATTCTT